GGGTGTGTGGGATTGGAGCTGTAGCACAAAGGGGCATTCTCAGCTTTGAACAATGGCTGTGTGGTGCTGCCTGGGCACAGGTGGAGGGTCACCTGTTCCAGGGGTTGTGCTCAGGCTGCTGATTGAGGCCTTTTGATCTCGCCCAGACATTCTCTGAGCACTCCTCCTCCCTGCTGCAGTGCTGCTTGCAATAGCACTGACATCTGATTGTTAATAAAGGCAGGAGCTGATGATTACTCTGTGGTGGCACAGAAACATCTGTCTCTGTGTCCTTGGCCCTTTTCCTTGGGACTGAGAGACTGTCAATATTGCTGTGGACAGCAGGGCATGGCAGGTAGATCAGTTTGTTTCCTGGGTTTAGTCTTTTGCCGAGTTGTTTGAACCAGGTGTGTTCAGAGCTAAACAAAGTCTTCTTCCTTCTCATTGGCAAAGGCAGAAGACACAATGAGCTCCAACACTCCTGCAGTTGCAGGTTGGTTGTTTTTTGTTTAATCTGCTGTCTGCAGGAGCATATTTGGAACTCCTCTGGTTATGTTGTTCCCTGGAGAAGTACTCTGTTTGTGGTAGGGAAGCCGGAAGAGCCGGGGTAGGAAAAAAGAGCACAGCTCTGATTCACAGTGATGGTGTCTGCCATGCCTGTGAGTGCAAATGTGATGGCAAAGGTGCTTCTTGTCCCTGCACCAGCTCTGGCACTGGTTTGAGGTGACGTTGTCTGTGTCTCACAGAGGAGCTGCCTGGTGTAATCAGTGTCTGGTAGGCTTTGAGAGGATGGTTAGGATGGTCTATGTGGGTGTGGTGGTGTTGGGAAACAAATATATATTTGATAGCTTCTCTGAGCTCTTAAACTCCCTTCTTTCCAAGTGCTTTGAGATATGGTTACTTAACTTGATGGATTTGAAATCTGACTTCTGAACACTCTGATTTTCTGTGGGGAGTTGCAGGGTTTTGGCATGTCTGTAAATCAGGGCATTGTTACCAAGAGTTAGAGGAACTACCCAAGCTTTGTCCTGGATGCCTTTTGATGCACTTTTGGAATGAAGATGAGGGTCCCTGGAATACAAGGGGGCAGTTTTATGGATGGGGTTGGACCCTCTGGGTTGATACCTGAGAAGCAGGCAAACCAGAGCTTAGATTCCTTGGTTTCTGAGTTCTTTGCCAGTCAAAAAGGCAAGTTCATTCATCTTGTGATCCTGAACCCTATTAGGAAGTGATGGTGAAACTTCCAACCTGGGGCTTGACTAGAAATCAATAGGAGCCTCTGAGGGTCACTGAGGTCTCCTTGGGCACAAGCTGCAATGGCTGAATGGGTCACAGTAACAAAACCTTCTCTTGTGATGTGGAAAGGAGTTTCACGCCTTCCTTCTCTGTGGTCTTTGTGCACAAACAGCTTTGTTTGTGAGTGTCAAAGGGCAGGGGAAATCCAGAAAGGGTGAAGGTATTTCCTGTGTGTGACAGCCTGTCCTGCTTGGGTCATGGCAGAGATCACCCTGTCTCTTTTGACCTGATTTTTGAGGCTTTGATCCAGGAATGTGACACTCTTCCCCTTTCTTGTGTCGTGTCTGCCTGTTGTGTTCAGTGACACTTCCTTGAAAACAAGGGGGACACATCCTTGTGTGCTGAGGAGTGAGACTCCTTGGCTGCCATCCCTTGGTGTGTCCTGACCTCTCCAGTACTTACAGCTTGTAACCCCAAATCAGTTCTTCAGTCAGCTCATGCTCCTTCCCCAAACTACCTCTTCCTTGTCACTCACTTAAGCCACAAGCAAGAGATGCTATTTCCCAAATGATAATTGCATGTGGTCAAGCTTGTGTAGCTCATCCTACAGGGATCAGGCAGCTCCAAGGGCAGCCATGTGTTGGCTCTCGTCTAGGAACAGCTGCTTAAGATTTTTTTGGAGAAAAAAAGTTGCCCCACTCCCTGGGATGTTGTTGTGAAGCCTCAGCAAAATCCCTGGAAATGACTCCTGACTCTTGCAGTGGAGTGGCAAACCCTGGTGGTTTGTTCTCCATGAAGTGCTTGGGGTTCTCCTGCAGAAGGGAGCTGTGTGCTGAGCACATCCTTTGGCTCCCTGAGGAGCAGAGCAGTGCAAGGCTGTGGCTCCTCCAAACTTCTTCCCCTCTCCTTTGGCAGATTTCTGTGCAGTGTTTGTGGCTTGAGTGACATCCAAGGAAAAGGCTTCCCTATTTTGCTACCAATCCTTTTTTCTGCCTCTTGTGTTTTCCACACATTTTCATTCAGGGGCTTCTGATCTTTAACAGGTATTTTCCTTCCCTGTCCTTTTCCATATATTTTTTTCATCTCCTTCAGTTGCAACACTCCCAGTGTCAGATGGTGGTGATGCTTTGCTAAAGGTGCTTTCTGTGATCCCTTCCTAGAATAGGAGTCATAAATCTGCATGATGTGTCTGCACCAGCAGACCTTGGTGCTGTGTCACATAATTGAGGAAAAATGAAGCTGTGAAGGACAGGGCAACTTCAGAACAAATTTGATTTGCAAACTGGGCCCACTTCAGATGCCTGAATGTACAATGTTGAACAGAGCTGCACACATCAGGACACTTCCAGGGAATTCAGGGTGGGTGGTAGACTGTGACAGCTGAGCTCCACGCTTGTCATGCCCTGAGAAGTCCTCCCTCATTTGAGGATTAAACTAGAGCTACTTCCCCGACACAGAACTGCTGCCAAAATTCCAGTCTGGCTCAAGCCACTCTCCACACTTCATAATGAAGTTTGAAAGAGTTTTAACATCTTGGTGTTGGCAGAAACATGGTTTTAAAATCACGGTGTGGTTGGAGACACGCTGGCTCTGGACACTGGTAACAAGGCTGGAGACTTTCATCTGAAGGTCAAATCCAGCTGTGGTGTTAGTGACAAAGTCATGAACTTGTGACTGATGCTTTGGGGCTTACGTGTGGAAATGTGTCTGGAGTCCAACGCCAGCACTGGGAGTTGGGAGACCTGGGTTCAGTTCCTGGGCTTTGCCAGAGCTATTCTGAGAGACCCTCAGCAAGGCACTCACAGTCTCTGTGCCTTTGGTCTCTTTGTGAAAAAGCACTGAGGTCTACCTACATCAGTGTGCTCCAAGTCCTCAAACTTGCAGGACTGTGGACTCCTGAACACCACTGGATGCAGAAGAGCAAAGAAATAGGTGGGATGGGCTGGCTCTGTGCAGCCCATGCCAGCCAAGTGCCTGGATCACTGCTGTGGGTATTAGCAGGGGCTGGTGGGCTTTATGGCAGCTCTGAGGGTGAGGACATCCTGTTCTCAGGAGGCTGTGCTGCTCTCCTGTCTCTGGGTGAGGCTGTTCCTAGGGCAGGCAGCCCCGTGCTCAAGAGGAAGCTTATGCAGCTCACCCTCTCCAGTGATTACAGCAGAACTTAGTTTCTGTGTTTGGCAGCTGGCACAAATCATCAGCAAACAGCTTCCTGAGAAATTAACTTCCCAAAGACTCTGCTAACCACGATTGAGCTGCTCCATCTTTCCAAGGCACACATGGGCAGCCTCTCCTGGCAAGCCTTTGTTACTGCTCTTTGGAGTAGCTACCAGGCACTGCAGGGCTGTCCTGGGTGCGCACTTGCCTCCCCCTGGAGCAGTTTTGGATGAGATTCATGCAACCTCCAGCTCTGTTTTCCCCCTGTGTCCAGCTGAGCCCGGGGCTGTCTCTGTCTCCTCTGGCTCTCAGCAGGAGGAGCCTCTTCCCCAGGGACAGGGTGCTCAGGGCTTGTGTCTGCCTGGCTTGGAGAGAAAAGCATAAACTGCAGCCTGCAACACTGTAATCCCAAAGCTTCAGACTCTCCCTGTGTGTGCCAAATTCTTTTGGCTGTTAAATAAGGGTAGGAATTTTGAGGGGAACTTGTAGAGTACAACTTCTGTGTTTGCTTTTAGCTTCATGAATAGCAGCAGTGACTTTGTTTGGCTGTATACTGGGAAAACTCTGAGCTGCCAGCTTTGACGAGCTGCTGTTTTAAAGGAAAAGTTGTCACTTATGCAACTGTCTGTTTTGTGTTGACTTCAGAATCACTGGTGCCTTGCACAGCCCTGCTGTGTCTGCAGGTCACCCTCCAGTTCCCAGAGGGGCTTGGCAGTGCTGTGCTGTAATTGGGACCCTGGGGATGCTGTGCTGCTCACAGAGCTCCCAAACCTGTCCTGCACAACCTTGGCTGTGGTCCAGAGGAGTGTGACCCTATTTCAGATAGGGGGAGAATTGAGGCACAGGTCAGGTAGCTGGGAAAAAGGAGTTCCCTGATGTAGGTGTCATGTTGATGTGCTGGTACATCCCAGGTCTGAGGGGTGGGGAAAGGGAAAGCACCTGGGAGATGGGAAACTTTTACTGCTGAGTGAGGAAAGGCTGTTGCCAGCCTCTGTTCAATGTCACAGAAGCCCACATGAAGGGAGAGTGTGGGAAACAAGTCATCATCTCTGCATTTTGCAGGGCATTGCATTGGTGAGATTACAAAGCTGCTGGTGGTACCTGCAGGAGGAGAGGTGTGGGGAAGGGCCAGTAGAGCATGAGGGCTTAAGGAGGAAAATAAAAGCTGTTAAATCACATCTGCACTCTAATAAATGTGGAGGGACAGAATGTAAGAAAATAAAGAGTGCAGAAGGTAGTCTCACACCTGAGGAGTTGCAGCCGCACTAATCACCAAAGATTAGCAACAGGCCTGCTCTTAATAGGCCACAGCTGTGTGCAATGAGGATGAGTGCTACAAAAGAGTGGGTTAGCTGGGTAAGGAGAGAGTTGGGGTTTCCTGTCTGTACTGTGAAGAAGAAGAAGTCAGTGCTACAAGGAGCTGTCCATGAGAAATCACTGAGAAGGTATGGGACTTCTGCAATATGAGGACAATGAATAAATCCTTACTGATATTTTGTGTGACTCCTTTTTCTGTGGCTGGGGTTGGCTGGGTGCTCCGGGGTGTATCCAGGTGGGAAGATGTGCTGTGAATCAGTAGCAGCACTGCTGGATCAGGGCACTGTGCTCTGCTGACTCCTTGTTTGTGTTAGTTACAGGACTCTCATCAGGCCCACATACAAAATGTCCTACAGAACTGTGACCACGCTGGAGTGGAGATGCTGTCCTGGCTTCACAGGGAGCAACTGTGAGGAGGGTGAGTTATCCAGCAATGCCTCTGTCCTTGTGAGCAGCAAGGATGGACTGGCTGCCTTGAGCTGGGTTTGTTCTTTAATGTGCTCTATACACCTCCCAAACACAGGAACAAATCACCTGTTCCCTTCGCACCCCATTGTTATCTGAATGTCACACACAGCTCTGAAAGGTGGTCTTGGAAAACAGATCTTTCTGAATGCCTGTAAACAGGCCCGAATGGGGAGGGAGGAAGAAATAAAGAAAGAAAAGGGAATCAGGCATGACCTGCTTAAAGATGTGTTCGTGCTTGGCATCCTTGGTTTGTTCAGAAAATGTGCTTTCTCCTTTTTGTGTGTTATCTTCTCCCTGTTCCTGTTGTTGCCACCAGTTGCTGTATCTAATAAAAAGCTGGTTCCTGGATGCTGCTCTTGTAAGGTCTGGACGTAAATAATGTGTGCTCCCAGAGAGCTTTGAGTCAATACCTTTGGTTCCCTTTCCTACCTGCTCCTTGACTTATTGGTGTAACATTCATGTGTGTGTGAACTGTTTTCACGTGTGTGAAAACAGTTCCCTCCACTCAGAGGAAAAGGGCTCTCTCCAGAGGAGGAGGAAAAAGTATTTTCCTTTTTTATTGCAATAGGGCATGTTTTACATTTTCTTCCTAACATTTTCTACTTTAACTGTCACTTTTGGGGATTTGAAACAAGTCATGCTTCTCCACCAATATCAGGTTTAGGCATTAAGGCATCTGCTGAACCTGACTTGAGGGTTCACAGCTTATGAATGGCAGAAACTGAGCCTGGAGTTTTCTGTTCATTTGCATCAGGTCAACATAGCCTGTCTCTGGCTGCTGAAGGGTCAGAGGGGGTGTCCAACATCTCTGAGTCTGCTGTTTGTGCTGCTTTTCTTTGTGCTGTGATATCTTAATACCAATCCCACAATTCAGGCACATCTCTGCCAAGGAAGTTGTCTCGTTGCAGTCCCAAAGAGTGATGGCTGCAGACAGCAGCTGGTTCCAGGCTGCTGAGCAGACAATAGCATCCCAGAAGCTCCAGAAAACCCTTACAAAGTGGCAAAACTACCCAAAGCTGCAGTCTGCAGGAGAGAGCTTTACATTTTAACATAATGCTAAAAGAAGTATGTTGCAGACATGTTCTATGAAAAATCCTTTCCTTAGGGTTTTTCCTCCTGAGAGGCCTCAGGAACAAAATGTAAACAATGGTTATCTGCTGCTGTGGAATGCAACAGGTGCATCTGTGATTGGTCTCAGAGTTATTTCTAATTAATGGCCAATCACAATCAGCTGGCTTAGACTCTGTCTGAGCCCCAAGCCTTTGTTATTCGTTTATTTCTTTTTCTATTCTTAGCCAGCCTTCTGATGAAATCCTTTCTTCTATTCTTTTAGTATAGTTTTAATTAATTTATATGATAGTTTTAATTAATATAATATATATAATAAAATAATAAATCAAGCCTTCTGAAACATTTGTGCAGCTTGAGTTTTCAGCTGTCCCCTGCAAGGCAAGGGGAGCTGGGGCTGGTGGCAGAGCTGAGGATGTGCCTGGTGACCTGAGGAGCCCCTGTTTGTGCCTGTAGGTTTGGACAGGTGTGAGTTATTGCAGCTTAGCGGTGCTGCTGGTGCAAAGGAGAGATTCCAGCCCCCCCCCCCCCCCCCCCCCGCAGTGCCAGATCTGTCTCAGCAGAGTTCAGTGGAAATACAAAGCCAACATGAGCTGGTTTGAGAAAGCCGGCAGTGATCTCGCAGGAGCAGCTCTGTGCAACGAGGTGACAATTTTATACAGCTACTTTGAAAGGTGGAACTGTTCTTTTGGGCTTGGATATGGTCTGTGGAGTGTGAGAAGAAAGCCAGTAGTAAGCCCTTACTTTCAAGTGTGAGATTCTTTTTACCTTTTTTTTTCCTCTGCTTAAAACATCTGGTGCTACTGACAGTCCCATATCCTTGAATGAAAGAGGAAAATAAAAAAGACCCTTTCTAGTGCAGCAGGGTTGGCCCCTTAGTTTTTAGTGTAAATACTGGTGCTAGTGGTCTGCATGGCCCTTCAAGCTGTCAATTTTAAAATGGAAATATTTACTTACTCTTTATGTTAATTCTTAATGTTAGTGTCACTTGGAAATCAAAGTAAGAAAGGCTAAAAATAGGCTGGTTTAGGGTTTTTGGCAATGCAATATGAGGCCTTTTGTACTCTTTCCTTTCTGTGCTCTCCCCTGCTGCAAGATTGGTTCCTCTGAGAGGGTGGGATGCTTATCTGTGTGAGTTCTTCCTGGAAACAGCAGACAAAAGGAAACAGAAAACTAAACTGAAGCAAAACAAAAACAGTGCAGTGCTGAAGCCACAGTGAATTAGCAGGGCAGAACCTCAAAATGCTTTCATCTTTCTTTGGTAGTTAGATTCCTCCTCAATATTTCATTTCACTTGTATGTGCAGCTGGTGCTTTAGAAGTTGATGTGAGGTAGGTATGACTGGAGGCAGCCTGGACCTGCATTATTTTTAGCTTGCTTTCTTGCTGTGTTGCAAATCCTCCCATTCTCTGACATCCTCTGCTGCCACTGGCAGCTGCAGTGGCTCTGAGCTTCCATGCAACATCTCCTGGTTCCAGAGACTGAAGGGAAAGTCTTCCTTTCCCAATGGATCTTGGAACAGTCAGGGTGTGTTTCCCTCAGTGGATTGGATAAAGCCAGCAGAGAATGGATTGATGAAGCACACAGAACAGTTCTGGGAGCTGTGTGTGCATGGGCATGGATGAAGGTGGTCTCTGCATCCTGATGATATAAATCTGTCTATAAAATCTATTGATTCCTTCTTTAACCCACTATAAGCAGAGTTAATATTTGCTCCTTTTTTCTGCTGTTCTGGAGCAGTGTCTTTGGGGAAACCACTGTAGCATAGATTATTTTTACTAACTGTCCTTATATCAAGCCTTCCTTGCCCTTTGAAAATTTATTTCTTTTAGCATTTTATAAGGGAAGACAGGATAGGGTGAACCAAGGAAAGAAGTGAAAGAATTTGAAGCCATTCAGAGGCTGCAGCTATTTCTGATACCTTAACTTGTTGTGATCTCCCAAATGGCAGGTCAGCTTTTCTTTTACAAAACCAGCAGCTCAGTGTGGGTGTCTAGCCCCAAAGTATGACAGATTCCTGATGAGATTGGTTTGCTGAAAGCACCTTCAGTGGGAAAACTCCCCTCTGCTAGAGTAAGGTGTTAAATGTAATTAAATCACTGAAGTGTCTCCATCCTCAGCTGGTAAGTTTAGCTTGAGACAGTCACCACTGCAGTGTCACCAGCTGACAGGCATCTATATTAACACTGAAAGCTGCACAATTTTGGATTTAAATTATCCTGGGAATCTAACCCCTGCATTGAAGCTGATAAAGAGCAGCATTGTCTGGAGGAAGCCCAGCTCTAGAGGTGGATGGAGATCTTGCTCTCAGTGGGCCATTAATTTTCTGAGGTAAATTTCCAACCTGTCTCCTTTTTCAAGCTGACACTGCCTAGGGCTTTCTCCCCTTCCTTTCCTTGCTTTCTACTCAGTCCAAGGTGTGTCAGTATTTGAAAGATCTCCAGTTCCTTTACTGGTTGTGTACAACTGTGACCTGCTCATTGAGTTGATAGTCAAAAACCACCACTTGTACTAGGCCTTCCCAAAGGGTCTCTTTCAACTTCCTTGGATGGAGAAAAAGACTTGATGCAAACCAGTCTGGTGAATATAACTGTCACTAGATACTAACTTTTATTTTCCAGTTTCAGGGGGTTTTTGTTTTGTTTAAAGTGGAGCCCAAGCCCAGGACAGGAAATGAATGCACTGAGCCACCCAGTCTGCTGACTGCTGATATAAAGAACATATGGATGAGGGCAGTGCAGGGGTGAAGTGCTTTAGCCCTTGCAATCATGCATCAAGCTGATTGATTTGAATCCAAGATGATGCTGACATTTCAACTCAGCCTTTTTTTCTATATGGCTGAAAGTTCAAAGGCAAATGCAACCTCTTGGGAGAGGAAAAGTGTCCCCAGCAAGTTCAGGGGCTCAGCACTGCCCTGGAGCTCTCCAGCCAAGCAAGGTCTTATTTTACTTTACAAATATAGCATAGCTTTCTTCCTTGTTTGTTTGTACTGCTTGAGTTTGGGACAGTAGCCAGCATCCTATTTACCCCAGAAGCACATTGATGGTAGACAGCTTAGCTGTTTGGGCAAGAAACAGCTCCCAGAGCAACCTCAGCACCTCTAAAGTGATGCTATTGTGATTCTAATCTTACTTTTTTCTTTTCTAAGCATGCAAGTAATGGCCGAGAACTTCCTTTTTTCTTTTTTTTTTTGTCTCCCCCTCCTCATTTCAGTTCTTGCAATATTCTGATCTACTTCTAATAACTATTATTTGCATCTTTCTTGTCATCCTGATATTTTTTTAAACCTCTTAATATTCCCATGTGTTTACAGTTTTCAAAGCAGCATAAGAAAATGAGGACTTTCCTCTTGGTATGATAGAATGCAAAAACTCTTTTCATTTTTACTGCTGGTTTACAAAATTTCTTGGTCCCAGCAGGAGAGATGCAGAACAACACTGCCAGGAAAATCTTAAATGAGTAAATGCAATTATGAGACAAAATTTGATGAGACTGGGAGAAAGGACATCAAAACAAGAGACCTGAAAGTTTGAAAGCCCATTGAAGTGCTTTGAAAGGAAGGGAATTCAAAGCGGTGTTAATGGGGCCTCACTTCTCCAACCTTGTCCTTCTTCTCCATGAACCATTAAAAGACAGAACTGTCCATGATGTGAAAGTGCAATACAGAGATGATGAAGTAACATTTCCTGTAGTATCACAGCAATTATCTCCAGGAGCTGAGCTTGTGTGTTCTCCTTACCTCAAGTCCCTCAGTTCCTTCCTCAGCAGAGCTTTTAGAACTTTTTAATCTTCCCTTAGAAATAGAGACAGTGTAAGAGAAAGCAGTGGGAGTCAGAGCCATTGCAGTGCCTGTTCTGCTGAATCCTGGTTCAGTGATGCAGC